GTCTAGACCGGCCCGGCCCGCGCGTCACAGCCGCGACGGCGCCGAGCTTACGTCACGTACGGCGCCTCACCCCAACGCGTCTCAGCTGCGCCGACGTCTCTCTGGCGTCACTCGTGCTCGCCCTCTGTCTAGCGTCCCTGCAGCGCCGACGTCGTGGCGTCATTAAAGCGCGCCCCCTACCCTGCTCTGCTGTGGGGACTGCTCGGCTTTCCGACATGTGCCAGGTGGGCGAGGACTACGTGGAGCCGCCGTCCTGTGAGCCCCCGTCGGCGCCCAGCCCCGGGTAGGAGCTCGCGGCTCTCTGAGCTAGGCGGGGCCTCGCTTCAGTCTGCTTCGCGCACTCGGGGCGACCCCGTTCTTCCTCAGTCTTCTATCGCTGACCCTGGGCCGCCCAGAATTTGTTGTCCTGTAGAGGCTTAGGGCCCCAGTTCGCGAGAGCCAGCTTTTCCAGCTGGCACCCTGGCCCTTTTCTCGAAGTTGGCAGTTAGAGAAGGGCATGGGCCTTTTCTGTGGTTCAGCTCAGGGCGGGAAACAGGACCCAGTCCCCGAAGTCACGCGGGTTGGGAAAGCAGCCACCTGTGTTCTTACCCTCCTCTCCTGTCGTGTGTCCAAAGCCGTGGGCAGAAGTGTGTGAAGTGCAAGGTGGGCGAGCCGGTGGTGGTGATCCGAGCTGGAGATGCCTTTTGCAGGTGAGGCTCGGTATTCCTTTTCCGGACGATGCTTGCTTTTCAAAGGGCCATTATTCTAGTATAAGTTCCTCCTGTTGCTCCCACCACCCTATTGAGGAAAGGCAGGTGGAAGTTAAGAGTCTCATGATCCATCCATTCAAGAGCAGCAAGGCCCTCGAGGGAGTTTATGGGCAGAGGTGGAAGTGGGGTGAGGTTTCCAAGTAAAATGGCAGGGAGCAGTATTTGGGGACATCTGGGATGGTAGTCTGTAATTCTTGTGGCCCTTGCCTTATTTTCTTTGTACAATGATTTTTTGTGCGTGTATGTATGATATTGGGCATTGAACCCATAGGCTTCAAACTGAGCTATATCCATCACCCCCTCATAATAATTTCTAAAATTTTTGAAACAGGAGCTTATTAAGTTGCTAAGTTGCCCAGGTTGACCTCGAGCTTGCAGTCCTTTTGCCTTTTTCTCCCTAGTAGCTGGGATTACAGCCAGACACCAGCACACCCAGCTGAATTATGACCATTTGGGAGGGGGGGCTTTTTCAACTAGATTTGTAGCTCACATTTTAAAATTGGTCTCCAGGAATCTTGGATTTTGCTTACTAAAGCATTCTTTTAAAAGAGAAGAAGAAAAAACAGTGGGTAATTGAAGAGATTGTTATCCAGCTGGAAGTTCTGAATCTGTGGTTTCAGGAGGACCCCAGGCCTCGGTGTTGGCTTGAGCTTCTTGGCTTCTCTGTCCAGGTGGCTAGCACCTAGTTTCTGGTGGGCAGGCCTGGAGGCCCAGCTCTGCAGCCTATTTAGCACTTCCTCTACCCGAGGGTGGTGCTGCTGCCTGGCATGGGGCAAGGAGGGTCTCAAGTCATCAATCAGCACCTTAATGGACACCGGGGCTTCGCCTTACCCCCTAGCAACTGCAGGATGTGAGATGTAGCTCCCGTGCCCTGTGTGCTCACAGCTGGTAGGGCTTCGGGGGACCCCAGAGCTCTGGGGAGCCTGCTCAGCAGTTTTGGCAGAGCCTCTGTGAAGACAACCCAGTCTGGCATTTGTGTTGCAGGGACTGTTTCAAGGCCTTCTATGTCCACAAGTTCAGAGCTATGCTAGGGAAGAACCGGCTCATCTTTCCGGGTGAGAAGGTAGCTGGTGGGGGGCGGCTCCTTCCCCTCTGTTCCTCTCAGCCAGCCTGCTGCCCCTGCCCCTGCCCTCACTCTGTGGCTGAATTGGGTATCTCGGGCTGTCCACACTGTGGGAGGGACATGCTCACATTGAAGACAAGTGTTACTTGCTGGTGTTTCTTCTCCCCCAGGTGCTCTTGGCATGGTCTGGTGGGCCCTCATCCAGCTCCATGGTCTGGCAGGTCCTTGAGGTGCGTCCACCCCACCCCCAGGCTGTGGCTGCTGGGCAGAGCTAGGGTAGGGTCTCCCTTCTCAGCACATGCCCCAGGGACACCCAGGGCACTCTCAGTGTGTACACAGGTCTCCAGGGTGCCAGCTGTGCCCAATTAGCTTTGTCCACTTGCCCACCTTCCAGAGCTCAGTCTCATGCACTGGCCACATGTGATTTGTAGGGACAGGCAGGGAGGGCAGCACATTCATGGAGGGGGCGGATTGAATCAGGTGCTCAAGCTGCAAACCCAGGAGCTACTGGGACGCAAGGGGTTTTCCTGAGGAACTGGGGGCTCTGGGGATCTTGGCACAGGGTAAGGGGAGGCCATGCAGGCTCCCTGCACACTTCCTGTGAGGGTGCAGACTTGGTCATGTGTGGGCAAGGGGTGGGGCTGTCCCTGGGCTGGCACTGTGCATGGTACTTTTGAGCCAGCCTTGCCCACAAGTTCTGCCTGGCTTGTCTTTGAATAGCTTTGTCCAGTAAAAGGCAGGGTCATGTCCCTGGCTGGTTTTCTCTCAATGGTGATTCCGTAAACCTGCCAAAGTGCCGAATAAGGTCCAGCTCAGGACATATACCACCTCCTTATTCCTGGCACAACTCCTCTGCTTTTCAGAGTGGCACCATTGCCCCATTTCTTGTCCCAGGTTGCTGCGGTCTCAGGGATGGACTCCAGGGGCTGGTTTTGAGGTTATGGGGGCCGCTACTTTCCTGGCAGAGGAGACCAATGGCCATGCTTCAGAGTTGGGTCTCTGGGCCTCACCACAGAGCCACCTGGTCCCTGAGGCAGAATGGCCCTGTCTGTTTTGAAGGGAGGGAGGCTCCCTCCTTCCAGGGACTGAAGTCCTGAAACGGCCTGCTGAAAAACACCCTGTGGCTCAGCTAGGGTCTAAGTCCCTGACGTGTCCCACTCTAGGGCCTGAGTCAGGACTCTGCTAAGAGGCTGCGTTTTGTGCCAGCGGTCATCTATGTGGACGGTACGTGTGGCCATCCCTCCTCCTGGCCCTGGTCACTTGGGTGGACCCCACTGAACCACCCAGGTAGAGGTTTGTCCAGGACTGGTGTCTTCCCCATGCTGAGGCTCTGCTGGTGATGTTTCTGAGGGAGCTAGTGTGTGTTCCAGCTTCAAGTGACTATGGGGGCTGGAAGCGTCTGTCCCACCTGGCTCTGCCATCGGGTCCGGGGGCGGAAGAGGGCTGGTGACTAGCCTGGGGTGGGGCTGGGGTGGCATATGTAGCCACTAGGGTAACCACCGATGGCATGTGTGGCACAGCAGATACACAGAGCCCTGTCAGCACATTAGCCAAGTTACCCCAGCAGCTGGGCATTAGATAGCAATTGTTTTTTTCTAAATTCAAACCTGAGGTGCTAGGGTTTGGCTCAGTGAGCACCATGTCTGCCTCACAAGCGCAACGTCTTGAATTCAGTCCTCTATACCAAAAACAAAATGAAACAAAACAAAAACCCCCTCAGTATTCAGATTTAATTGTGTTCTTGGTACTTTGAGATTAATAAGTGTATTTTGGGTTGTAGTTTGGGCACTCTTGTCTCTAAAAAGTTCACCATCCCTGCATTAGGGGGAACCTGTTTCCCAAATCAAGACAGCCCCCCTCCCGGTTGTCTGTATTAGCCTTTTGTTTTGTGGTACTGGGGATTGAACCCAGGACCTTTTATTGAATTACGTCTCTAGCCCTTCCTTCCTTAAAGTTTTTCTTTCCTTTTTTTTTTTTTCATACCGGGGATTGAACTCAGGACAGTGGTACCAATGAGCTAAATCCCTAGCCCTAACATTTTTCATTCTGAAGCAGGTTCCCACTAAGTTGCTAAGCTGTCTGGGATAGGCTAAAACTTGTGATCCTCCTGCCTCAGCCTCCTAGAGTGCTGGGGTTATAGGTGTGCCCTGCCCAGCTCTCATCTTCCAGTAACCACTGCCTTGCGGAGCCCCTCAGCCACCACCCCAAGCCCAAGCCCTGACTCCTTCTTGCCTGGCTTTACAGAGGGCGCAGCCTGCGGCCAGAGCCCAGAGGACAGAGCAAAGACCCTCACCGAGGTGAAACAGGTTTTGCACATTGTCAACTTCCCATGGCATATCGTGGCCCTGGAAGAGGTGGGTAGCCTTCACTTGGCAAAGGGGCTGCCAGTCCAGGGATTTGGCTCAGTAGTTCTGCCACCTGCCTTGCAAGCACAGGGTCCCAAGTTCAATCCCCAGTACCGCACACACACAAAAAAGCATGGGGCTGCCAGGAGGTGACCTGGGGGGTTCCCAGGGCTCAGCCTGGGCCTCACTGCCTGTCTGTGTCCTGGAAGGTGTTCAGCCTGCCGCCATCAGTGCTGCGGTGCTGTCCCCAGGAGCCGGCCGGGACAGAGGATGCCTACAAGGCTGCCGTGGACAGCTTTCTCCAACAGCACCTCGTGCTGGGGGCTGAGGGGGAGGAGGAGCAGCCCTGGCCCCAGAGCCAGGACCCCCACAGTCCCCCAAGCCTTGCCAGGTCCCCCTCTGCCGCCCATACTGAGGCCCTGTGCAGACTGTTTGAATCTGTGAGGACGCTGACGGCCAAGGAAGAGCTTTTGCAGACCCTGCGGTGAGCCTGGGCCTGTACCCCGGCCCCTGCCCCAGCCCTGGCTGCCTCTGTCTGCAACATGGCCTCTGCACCCTAGAAGCCACCTGATCCTGCACGTGGCTCGAGCCCATGGCTACTCCAAGGTGATGACCGGGGACAGCTGCACCCGCCTGGCCATCAAACTCATGACCAACCTGGCCCTGGGCCGAGGGGCCTTCCTCGCCTGGGACACGGTAACGTGGGGTTGTTCCCCCACCCTGCCTGTGGGTCATCCTGGGGTCTCCCGCTGGGGGTGCCTAGACCAACCCCAGCTTGGGGGTGTGGTGGGTAGAACCTCAGCAAAGAGCCCCACCCCCAGGGCTTCTCCGACGAGCGACACGGGGATGTGGTGGTGGTGCGGCCCATGAGGGACTACATGCTGAAGGAGGTGGCCTTCTACAACCGTCTGTTTGCCGTCCCCTCGGTCTTCACACCGGCTGTGGACACTAAGGTGGGCCTTTGGAGTGAGGCACACAGGTGAGGTGGTGGTCTTTCTCCCGTACAGTCAGGAGCTGTGCTGGCCTTTCCGAGCTGATCTGAGGTCCTGGTACCTGCTGTTCACTGCTGGTGCTAACAGGAGGGTCCCCTCGGGTCCTCTGAGGACACCCTGTGCCTCGGAGGGACAGGCTGACCCTTGCTAGTACACTGGCTGCTGTGGGAAGCTAGGCACCCACTCTGGGAGCTGCCCCTCTGTACTGGGCCTGCTGACAGCCCCTTGTCCCTAGGCCCCCGAGAAAGCTAGCATCCACCGGCTGATGGAGGCCTTCATCCTCAGGCTGCAGGCCCAGTTCCCCTCCACAGTCAGCACTGTGTACAGGTAGGGGGTGGGTGTGTGTGTGTGTGTGTGTACAGGTGTGGATGCGCGTGTACAGGTGTGGATGCGCGTGTACAGGTGTGTGTGTGTGTGTGTGTGCACGCGCGCATGCGGGGACCTGGAAGGAGCAGAGCCCTGGCTGGTGGCACCCATGTGACCTGTATCTCCTGTCCTCAGGACAGGCGAGAAGCTGGTCAAGGCGCCCAGGGAGGGCTGTGCGGGAGGGCCCTTGGGCCCCCGCTGCCTCCTCTGCATGTGTACACTTGACATCGACACTGCTGGTTTGTGTTGGACCTCCTTGGGGTGCTGGGGTGGGTGTTGGGGTTCGACAGCCCCAGGGTCCCCCTCAGTCCCTCTCTGCTTGCAGACAGTGCCACGGCTTTTGGGGCTCAGACCTCAAATCTCTCCCAGATGCTGCCGTCCACCCTGCAGGCTGAGGCTGGGATGCCCACAGCGCCCTGCTGTGCTGTAGGCGAGAACCCCAGCTGTTGTTGGAAGGCCTGCCGGAGGTGAGTCCTGCTGGGGACAGGAGTGGCTTGGGCTGGGGCCCCACAGTGCAGACACACAAGTCCAGTTCTCTCCCCAGAGAGGATACCACCCAGGCCCAGGTCACCCAGCAGCTGTGCTATGGCTGTCGGGGGAACATGAGGGACCTGGTGAGTGTGGCTGCCCTCCCCTCCCCTCAGAGGCAGTGGGGTGCTATGCTTGGGCTCTGCTGCCCCTCACCTGGCTGGCTTCTTTTGCAGCCCTCGCTGGATCCCTTGCCCCCCTACATCCTGGCCGAGGCCCAGCTCCGCAGCCAGAGGTACCGGGCCTGTCTTGGGGGCGTCCTGGGTGGGTGCCACGGGGCTGGTTCCCACCCACTTTCCCCGCAGGGCCCAGGTCATGCAGGAGATCCAGGAGTATCTGATCGAGGACAGCGGTGACGAGGTTGAGACTGCGACCGCTCAGAGCTGAGCCCAGGACATGTTGTGGCCCATGTGGGCCACTCTCACCCCTGCTGGAAGGCAAGGCTGCAGGGCTGGCACGGGTTTGTCCATTTGTATAAATAAAAAGGTTTTAATTAGAAAACTCTACAGTACGTGTAAGGCGGGTCGGGGTCCAGGCCCGTGTGGCCGCACTGGGCGCGTGAGGCCCACGGGGTGCAGTGTCCTTCTGACAGCAGCATCAGGGTTCAGGTAGGCCAGGGAGGACTCGTGGCAGCTGGGGCCTGGCCTGAGACATGCCACCTACACTGGGGGCCGTGCTGCCCACAGACAGCTCCTTCATTCCCGGTGCCGAGGAGCCAGGCTCTTACTCCTTTTCACGTGTCCACTTGATCATGGTCTCTGGCGAGCGGTACAGGAAGATGAGCTTGGCGTACAGCTCCTCCTCCAGCTCCAGCTCCTGCGTCTCCCGCACCAGGAAGATGTCCTGGCACAGCTTGAGGATGCGGTCCACACAGGGCAGCTCCTCAAACATGATGGAGTGCGAGATCTCGCTGAAGAAGCTACGCACAAACTTGCCGATGACCAGCACGATGGACACGTACAGTCCCATGATGCTGTAAAGGGGCGGAGGTGAGGCCCAGTGTGGCTGGACCCCCTTCCGCAGGGTGCCCCCTGGCCCCACACTCACCCGTAGCCGGCCAGGAAGCCCAGGCTGGGAGGGCTGACCTTGTCACTGAAGATGACCATGGGCAGCAGGTTGCAGTTGGTGCGGCAGTCCTGCAGCTCGATGACCCACCACTCCAGGAAGCCTGCAGCTCCCGAGCCCACCTGTTCCCTCCGCAGCTGGATGCGCACTCCCAGGTAGTCGGCCTCCTCGTCTGGGCACAGACGGGGGTCAGAGCCTGACCCTCCCCAGCCTGAGCTCCCATCCCCAGTTCCCAGACCTGTATACTCACTAGGCTGCAGCTGCTTCACGGGGCTGGCTTCAGGCCCATTGGGGGCGCGGATGTACTTGGGGAAGAGGTGGGGGATGACCCTGTGGGGCGGGTGGGCAGGTCAGGCCTGGCCTCACTCCCACCTGGCACCCCGTAACCCCCCCACTCACACAGACTGGTCCGAGGTGCCCTCCAGCAGGCGGGCCAGCAGCCGCCGTGCCGTGCTGTTGGGGGCCAGCTCCAGCGTGTGCTTCTCGTTGGTGTACTCCACGGTGCTGCCCTTGGCCAGGTCCCTGCAGGCGGGCAGGCAGTGGGCAGAGCGTGACCCACTGTGGGCCCGGCCCACCCCCAGGCCCTGCGCAGGACCCACCTCTGGAAGTTCCAGGTGAAGCGCAGAGTGATGTCTGCTGTGCCGTTGTACAGCTCCCGCTTCATCTGTGCCCGGCTCGGGGGGCTGATGCGCCACAGCGCCCCAGAGCTGCCCTCGATCTGCGCGGTGACGATGTCCTCGGGGCTGTACTGGCTGATGAACTGCATGGCCAGCTGTGGGGGTGGCGTGTGCCTCAGTGGGGTGCTGCCCACCGCTGCCACCCATACCACCCCGGCCAGGCTGCGGCAGGCTCCTCACTGGGTAGGGGTCGAACTGCTGGCATAGCTCCTCATAGGCCTCAGGCGTGAAGGGCTCGATGGATGGCTGCTGGGCGCTCATGGTGAACAGGGGCTGGGGCCGGGACTCTGTGAGCGGGGCTGGGAGACCCAGGCCAGCCGCACCCCTCTCCCCACCTGCTCTGCTTCCCCGTGGGCAGGCCACTCACCTCATAGCCACCCAGCTTGAGGGTGACAGTGACGTCGATGGGCTGGTTGACAACACCAACCACGGAACGTACCAGGGACATGAAGAGCAGCGGGAACCAGATGATAGCAATGAGGAAGAGGATGATGAGGCCGCCCATGCCGTACTTGACGATCTTCTTCTTCTTCTGCCCCTTTGGCTGCGGGTATTTCTGGAAAACCAGACGCAGGTCACATCCTGGCCCCTCGGGCTGCATCTGTGCGTCCTGGCCTGACTTGGCACAAAGCTGTGCTGTGGCCACCTCCCCCTTCGAGGGTGAACGCCAGACCCTGCTCATGCAGAGCCAGCTAGCAGGACTGCCCTGCAGCAACCAGAAAACACCAAACTCGGCCCGCAGCAGAGTGCTTGGGGCCTAAGCAAATGATTCTCTGGAGGAGCCGTGCATGAGCAGGTGCTCACTTCCACACGGCCACCAGAGCAGCTGGCCCACCCACTTGAGCTGCACCCAGCCTAGGATGGCAGAGCTGCTGGCAGGAATGTAAGAGGCTAGAGCTGCATGCGCCCAGCTACCTGGGAGGCTGAAGCAGGAGGATCATAAGCACAAGGCCAAAGACCCTGCCTCAAAAGGGAGTGGGGCTGGGCCACAGCTCAGTGCCCCCTGGGTTCAGTCCCCAGTGCAGCCAGTAAAGAGTGGTGTGACTGCTGGGCCAGCAGACTCGTCCATACATCGCTGCTGTGCAGGGTGGGGAGCAGCCCAGCAGCAGAGGTGGCACTGGGCTGCGCAGGCTTCTGCACACACTGCAGCGGCATTCAGCTGGACAGGAGCGATGCTGACAGCTGTGGTTTGGAGAGCAGCCAGAGCACAAGCAGTGTGACGGGCAAACCAAAGGCTAGAACCGGCCAGGGGCTGGCGGGAAGAGGGAAGTGGCCCCAAGGTGACTAATGATGGCCACGGTGAGAGCTACTTGGTTACACACTCCATACAGGTGAGGTGCACCGAAGGAGAAAAATAGCTGACAGTGTCCAGTGTCTGCTTTCCCCTCACTGTCCCCTTCGGTGCCCTGTCCAGTGGGCCCCTGGGGAGTGGCACCCTCCCCTCTCCAGGCACCTTCTCTGTCTCGCGGCTGCACTTGATGATGAAGATGTTGGCATAGATGTCCTCTACACACATCCAGTTGGAGAGGGACAGGGTGGTATCTGTCCACACCCAGTCCATGACAGCCCGCAGCTCCACCAAGAAGGGCACCAGCCGGAACCTGCAAAGCCAGGGTCGTCAGGGGCTCCGCCTCCACTGCGCGGGCAGCTGGGACCCAGGCAGAGCACACTCACCCCTGGAAGAGGAAGAGGTTCAGGTGGTTGTACTTCTTGGTGAGGAAGTTGCCAAGGATGCGTGTTGGGTAGCCGCAGCGGATCTGGTAGGCAGACAGGGCGAAGTAGATGCACTTCACAAAGTACCACAGCTGGGCCACTGCATTCTGGCTGAACATCCTGGGGTGGGATGGCAGTTGGGGACCCTGTCAGCAACAGTGCCGGCCCTGATCCAGCTGTGTGGCGCATAGGAGGGCTGGCGCATATGCCCACCTCTCGGTGACGGCCGGCAGAATGAAGAACATCCAGAGGTGGATGGCTACCACCAGCACCACCTGGAAGGCCAGCTTGCCCAGCACGGTCTTGCGCAGGTAGAGGGCGCGGTCCACCACCATGGTGCTGAACTGGATCAGCAGCATGACCAGGAAGGCCTCTGGCACCCTGTCGTCTGACAGGGAGGATGTGATGTCGGTGGCTGCCGAATGCTTCTGCAGGCGAGAGCACAGATGAGGGGCGGGGCTGGGCCCCGGGGCGACTGGGTTGCACCTGCTACAGAGCCCCAGCCTGGCTCACCCCAAAGGCCCAGAAGCCAAAGATGATGATGATGAAATCGACGACGTCGGCCAGGAACATGAGCGCGTACACGTCGGTGGCTGCCCGGTACTTGGTGTGTAGAATATCGTGGAAGAAGCACCGCAGGGGCTGGTAAATGCTTTGGGCCCTGTGGGCAAGCAGGCAGACAGGCTCCCTGGGTGCCTGGCCTTGGGGCCTCCCTCCTTGCCCATAGCCACCCCTAGGCCCCATCACTCACAGCGACAGGAAGAAGCCCTGCAGCTGGCGCCCTGCTGCCTTCATTCGTTGTTGGCAGCGGCTTGGCCTCTTTCTCCTGGCTGCCTGCCTCTCCTCCCCGTCCCCAGCTCCTGTGGGGAGAAGCTGCTGACAGCCCGCCTGGGTCTGGCTGTTCCCTCTGTGGGAGCCAGCATGGTGCCCCCAACCTCTCCTGCCTGCTCTCCCAGGACAGAAGCGAGGCAGGGCCTGTGGCAGTGTGAAGGCACTGGTGGGCTCCCCGCTGCTTCCAGGAGCCAGGAAGTCCCTAGCCTGCCCCTCTACCTCCCAGTAAAATGGCAGGGGCAACCAGAGTCTGAGACTGAGTGAGCGCCGCTTTACCAAGGGCTGCTGCTCCTGCAGGTCCTGCACTCCCCTTCTTCCTCCTGAAACGCAGGCTGATGTGCCTCGTGTCCTGGGGCTGGAGGGCCACTTGAGGCTCCGGGGCCCTATGCCTGGACCTGACCCTCACGTCCTCCAGGACATGGTCCTGGGTGGTGGCCCGAGTCACGCCCAGCCCCTCCTGCTGTGCTGTGTCTGCCTCGGTCTGCTCCTCAGTGCTGGAGTCCTTCCTGCCGCTCCCTTGGTTCTGCATGGAGAGCCGGTCCTCCTCGTGGTCCCAGAGGCCATAGCACTGCAGAAGGGCCGGGGCAGTGAGGCAGGGCCCAGGATCTGGTCTCTCCCCGGGGCCACACAGCACGGTGCTCACCAGCAGTTGGGAGCGGTGGAAGAAGAGCGCCATGAGCTGCACCAGGTCGTACTTGATGTAGCTGTCGCTCTTCTCCAGCCCTAGGATGCGTGGTGGGAAGTAGGGCTTGTTCTCGTTACGCCGCAGCACCGTATGGCTGTTCCAGGGGAAGAAGCCAAACTGGAACAGGTATTTGGTGACCACGGTGACCTGCAGGGGAAGCTGGTGACTGCTGAGGTTTGCGGGCAGGTGGTGGGCACAAGCTGAGCCCCAGTGCACCCAGCTGCCTGAGCCTACCTCTGTAAAGACGATCGCTGTCATCCAGAAGCGCTTGCTGGGCCTGGGGATGGACAACATGGCCCACAGGAAGACGAGCACCGGCAACACCAGCGAGGTGGCCGAGGCAGTGACCATGTGGTTGAGGATGATGACGAAGTAGCAGAGCAGCTCCGAGTGGGCGGCCACACACTGGTACGCGGCTCGCAGCAGCCTCAGCGCCCGGCCCTGCTGGGCTGCGAAGTCCTCAGCGGCCTCCAGCTCCTGGATGTGCAGGCGCCTGTGGGGACCCGGCTGGGTGTGTAGCCTGCCTGCCACCACAGTCACAGAGGGCTGCCCTAGCGCCCGCCCTGCCCATCCCACACCTGTGGCTCAGCAGCTCGCTGGCTGTGCGTGTCCTCCTCGGGGCTGGAAGCTCCTGTGAGCCTCGCAGCGAGGCCTCGGCCTCCAGGTCCTCAGCCTCTGCTATGATCTCCTCGCTGCCGCTGCGGGTGTTGTAGCCCGTGCTCAGCGGGCTGCTGGTGTCCGTCGTGCAGCTCAGGGGCTCCTCAGCCCCCAGCCCACTGTGGGGGGGAAGCGGCTTAGTGATGGCACAGAGGTGTCCCTGAGCGGGACAGTGAGGGACAGGCTCGCCGGGCTCACGGGCAGGGAGGGGCGTGCACCTGCCTGGAAGCAGTGCTGGGTCCGTCTCGGGCCTCCTGGGGGCCTGGCAGCGTGGCCTGGGTCTCCTCGTTGTACAGCTGGTCCAGCA